ATATATATATATATATATTCCAACATCAAGGCAGCCTAAGCGCACCCCGTTTTTCACACATGCTTCAACCCATGTAACAATGCCAATAAGCACCAATCTGTTGAACATGATGGCAGTTTGAGTGGGGGACTATTGGAAATCGGTAACCGGCAAGACATGTGTAGGTTTAAATGGGTTGTATGCAACACTCAACACTATGATTCTGCCTTGGTCGACTGAAATACGTGTGCAGGAGAGGTTTGTGTACAAGAGTGAGCACTCGGAGTGTGCCTTGACGGCTTGATCATTTATGAGTAAGAGGGTTGTGCACAAGACGAAACACTATGAGGTAGTTTTTTAGCGGGGCATTAGCACATATTTGTATATATATATATANNTATATATATACACACATACACATATATATATATATGTATAGTTGTGCCCCGGGCCCCCCCCTCCCCCCCTTCCCCCCTGGTTCAGTTTAACGATATATGTCCCCCCCCCCCCCGGCCCCGTGGAACGGGACATCCTTCCTTCTCCTTGAGCAATGATGAAGGAGCTATGATATGTGCATTCGACGCCTTTTCTGGGATGAACATATATAATACTCGATTCCACCTGCATTCGCATTTCTTCTGAGCGTGCTGGATTGACGATCTTGCTTTCCATCAGAAGATGTATTGCGTTCGACATGACACTATACCTCTTGACGTACATAGATAAGCTGTCACGGAATTGGACATCCGGTTTTGGTGCCGCACTGGTACCTGCATAACACGTATGTACATATATATATATATATATGTATACATGTATACATATATACATATATACAAATACACATATAAATACATATATGTATATGGTACCCCTCCCCCGTAAAACCTACCTCCAAGCCTGTCTCTATACATGAAGGCCACCACACGGAACCACATGTCTGTACAGCACACACACAAGGATAAGCGTATATGAACATTACTAAACAAATCCAAAGGGACCGTGTATGCCGGATCGATCCGGGCCGTGTTTCAGTATAATTCCGTATAATTCAGTATTTATACTGAAATCCTGCCCGGACCAGAGATTAGAGATGCCGTGAAAAGCTTTTCCGTGGCATCTCTGATCTCTCATATCTGATCTGGGCCGGTGTTCAGTATAATTCAGTATAAAACTGTGTGTTTACTGAACCATATGGTGGATATGAACATGTTCATATATTATATCTTGTTAGTTTATGAGATGTATCTAGTTAAGTATTAGCATTCAGACCATGTGGGTGCTGACACGTGCACGTTCTAGAATCCACCCTTGTTTCCCTTATAGAATACCCTGTAAAATCCTTCATAAAGAGTTTTCAAAAGTTCGTTGTCAAATACTTGATACAATACCGCTTATACACCCTATATACATCTTATAGCAGACCATCTGTACTACCTTGTAGAATACCTTGTAGAAGACCGCTTATGTATGATACGTTCTGTATACCCTATATATTCATATACCCCTTACAGAATACCTTATAGAATACCTCGTAGGATACTTCTTCGACTCCCCTATAGAGTAACATCAGCCGGAGCCCAAGATTTGATGATTTCCAGTTTAGTTTTACTTAATTGAGAAACGGATTCCTATGAAGGAAATCAGGAACCTACTAGTAGAAGAACATCCCTGAACATACCTTATAGGATAACACCTTCTATACATACCTTCAAGAATACCCTTTCGCCTTTAGAAGACCTTGTAGAACTCTTTCCTATATATATATATATTACCAGTACCATGTACATATATATATATATACATATATACACCCTGAAGAATACCTTTTACACAATACCTTATGGAATACCCTATAGATGCCCTATAGAATGCCCCATAATACCTTGCTTACTCTTATATACTCTATATAAGCCTCGTAGAATACGATTTGGAATACGCTATGGAAGGCCTCATCAAAAAGCCCTATACACGATGTTCCCTGTATACCTTATAGCCTTGAGAATCCTCTTGGGATGCCCGAAAGAGAACCTAAAGATCAGGATTTTTATAGGGGAAATCAGGAGGAGCCCATCTTGTAACTTATTGAGCAAGGGAATACCCCCATACAACTTGTATACCGAAAATTTGCGAGTCCCCCAGTTGATTTGTAGTTCACTGGGTAAGGGGTTTATATGAAGGACGTGCGAAACTTAGGGTCCAGGAGCTCCTTGAACAAATCGAAGCTTATCTAAAAAGGGATACATATAGAGAACAGAATCCTTGTAAAACCCCCTTATGCATACCTTATAGAATACCTTCTACCATACCTTGTGGACTAGCCTACAGAGTACCTTGACGACTACTTTGTGAATACTTTATACAATTCCACTGATATACCCTATACTACCTATGCTTATAGAAGACCATCTGGAATATCCCTTATAGCATCCTGTATACCTTACGCATGCCATATAGAAAACCTATGGAATATCTTATAGGATACCCTTTAGAATCCCTTATAGAATACCCTACAAAGCACCCTAAAGATAGGGGCTTCAAGTACCGAAAACCGGTCGAAGTCCAAGACATGAGAAGTCCCCAGTTGAGTTGTAGCTCTTGGATAAGAGATTCCTATGAAGAAAATCAAAAGCCAAGAAGAATAACCTTACAACTACTTTATGGAATACCACCTCTTTCTACGTTACAGAATTTCATACAGAATACCCTGTAGAATACCTTCCGAAAAAGAGGCTATAGAATACATCATAAAATGCCTTGTAGAATACCATCTGGAATACCCTGTAGTAGATTACCTTACAGAAGACCGCCTATGCAATATACCCTTGTTATACCTCAAACATACCTCATAGGATATCCTTTTGAATACCTTTTAGGACACCCTTTAAAACACCTTATAGAATACCTTGTTGCGTGCATATCCCACAGATAACGATTTAAATAAGGAAAATCATCATCAAAAGCCAACCGCTTAATAGCGTAGTATAGAGAGGGCCGTAGAATACTTGTTGATATTATCTTGATTTGAACGGTTTTGTGTGTGGTCGTAGAGAGGGAGTACTAAGCAATACGTAGTAGCATTATCTTGGTTTGAACGGTGTTGTGTCGTGGTAAACAGGGAATACTAAGCAATACTTATTACCTTTATCTCGGCTTGGACGGTTTTGTAAGGTCGCAGACAGGACATACTAGGCAATGCGTAGTGCCATCATCTTGGATTGAACAGTTTTGTGTTGTCGTGCCCCATTCCCCCCATCATACCCCGACCCCCCCACCCCCCATACTACCTTGCCCCTGCCGCTTGGTTGTCGCCCCACTCCAGCCCTGTCCCCCACCCACCCGTTATGGTACCCCACCCCTGCTCTTGCAGAAGGCGGCAGTCTGCGCAGTAGTTTCCCGCATCAGACATGAATTACAATGCTTAATTATGAGGGTTGTAAGGGTTGTATGGCGATGATGATGGTGGCAGCTGTTCTTTTGATGGTGCTGTTGCCGAAGATGACGACGACGTCGACAATGATGATGTTGAGCATGATGTCAAAGATGATCCGATTGTCGACTCGCGTCGCCGGCTAAAGCAGCACAACATCATGAGCCGTATCACTGGTGCCACAGCAGGCACAACTGCGAACAAGGTGAACCAAAGCCTCAGCTAAGCGGGGTGCAGAGCCAACCAAAACTACAAAACAACAGGGGAGCCACCCCGCTGAGGGGGGGGGCGCACGGGAGGACACCATGGGGTGGGGAGCAGGGGGGGTGTGGCAGCCATCCTTGATTGCAGACGTTTCATTTCACTGCCAGGCATTTCATTTCTTCTCTGCTAGCATCAATCTCAAGCCTGACTTCCCATCTTCCTACATGCGCCGCTCTCAGTTCAGTGGTACCTTACTGCTAGTTGCAAGCCAACACTGCGGACCTGTTCTTTTCACCATGTTGAGGTATCTCGCAATCACGCTCTCTCGCTTGGATGACTTCTCAAATGCTTGCAGCGCATATGAGAAGGCCCATCCCTTCGGGGGTATGTGGGCAACTCGACAGTATGCAATGTGCAAAGACAGAAAGAAGAGAGAGTCTTCGCTTTGCAGGCAATCGAGATGGACTCCGATCACATGTTTCATCTGAACTTTGCGATTACATTATTCAACCATGGAGATCTGACGGAGGCCCGTTGGTTTGCAGTCCCGACCATACACTAAGGGTTAGACAAGCCCAGCTTCCTGTCTACACAACAGCGTTCGTGAAGTATGCTTCGATCACGCAGGCCAGAAGACAGTTCGTGCTGTTTAGCGATCTGTTCCAGCAGCTGGACGAAGAGCAAAGAAACTCTGACCCAGAGGTGGGGAGACTGCATTCTACTCTTTGGGGCTGCTCCCTGTCCTAGCTGGTCCTGGTTCTGCGTCAGCATCGCAGGTCAATGAACAACGACAGCTGCTGCAAAGAGTCTTGAACAGTGGCGCTAAATAGTACTGGTTCAGTAAGTTTGAGATGACAGGCAGGCATTGGATCCTAGAAGAAACAATCAAGTGGTGCATGATTGCTATACCTCGAATATAGACAGTCGTTTCACATCGCCGGAAGCTCTGATGATGCGCAGGCACCAAAATCACAGTGGTTTGCATAAAATCTGACCTTTGATATTTCAGATTCTCGAAGGAGGGCTTCCTGACAAGGGGCGACGCATGCCTTCATCAACCTAAAATCATGGGCAGGCTGCCAACATCGATGTTCCCACTTGTCACGGCAGACTTGTGCTATGCAAAGAGTGGTCTCAAGGGGGGGATTGAAATCTAGGGAGACCAGCATGGATATGCGGGATACTATTCACTGCCGCCCCCCACCTACTTGTAGAGTTGTAGAGTGCTCGCACCACCACTGGCAAGAGATATGCACGAACAACCTCAACATAAGCATCAATGGCAAACACATAATGCTACTTCTTTGGACATGCTTGCACCTCAGGCAAGCGTGAGAACTTGCCGTTCCACCGCCACGCCACGCTATCACCATGACGACTTCCACTTTTGGTACTGTAAGTAAAGACAAATACTGCCACCTCTTCGGATCTGCCTGGCAAAGTGAAAGAGCAGAATGGAAAATGGTCGACTAGTGACAAGTAGATGAACATCGCCAAAAACCCCGGGCTGAAAGTGGGTCGGTGCTGCCGCAAAGGCACGACCTCTGGACTGTGCCGGCGAGCCCGAAGAGAATTTACGGCCTGCTTCCACCTGTATAAACCTGTATGATTGCCCAATGTTCCCTGACTTCTGGAACAGTCTGAGACTTTGGGGGCATTCCCCATCATGTGAGTTACTGCTACTTTGCGAAAAGCACTTCGACTTCAGCCTACAGTGCCTGCATGGTTGCAGCGGAGGAGAAGGAAAGAAGACTTTCACAGCAGAGCATGTATTATCAGTGTGACTACTACTAACCAGTCCGTGACTTGTACGCTGGCTGGCATCAACGGTTAACCCCACATCTGGTCAAGGTCTGGTGTCGATGGGAGCACCAGTCGTAGCAGTCATCGACATGAAGTTGCGATGCTGAAAAGCAGCCCTCGACGCACTGCCAGCGTTGCCGACAAAGCGAAGCAGAAGAACAATCATGCCTCGAGGCCACGGCAGCCAGAAAGGCGTAATCGCAAAACTCCCCAAGTCAGACACAGAGTCGCAGTGCAGCCTGAGGGATGCCCCATCGGCTCAGTCCGACATTGACATCTCTACGCAAGCCTTTCGCACACTGACTTGGGGTATAAGTTCAGACCTTTCCGAGCAAGTCTCATCGCACTGGCTCCCTCAAGCTTAGCGGACCATGGTAAGAAGTTGCGTCGGTTGCAAAGTTGCATAAAGTTGCCCATGGTCTTTACCGCAACCGTGAAAGGTGCCAAGTGCTGCGAGGTAAGCATACATCCCCGCTGATTGCATTAACAAAGTCGAATCGTTGTAGATTTATTAGTTCGCCATCTGCACTTAGCAGCTGGGCTGTATGCATGCCGCGATGAGGCTCGCCACAAAGATCTCTTCTTGCGGCCCGGCAAATCCCTCAAAATGTCATCGCCCTGCGAGGCGCCGTCAGCTCCGGCCATGGTGAAACGCGCTCTCTGTTGGAGACTTTGCGCATCTTTGCAAGGTGTTTCGGGTCTCAGAAGTCGCTCATGCTAGAGCTCAGGCGTGGGCTGCAACTATCCGAGCAAAGCCTTCGGTTTGGCAGGAGCCGTGTGGCACTTAGCTGCGCACCAAAGTTCTCATGGGATATGTTGGCCGTGCAAGGTCAACGACGCTTTCCTGATCGCAGAGACCCTTCAGGCCCTACCTGAGGACATGGATAAGGATACGGCTGTTGATGAGGCTAACAACGACAACGATACAAGAAAGCTTCCGTTGGTTGTGCAGTGTAGTGCGCTTTGCTGGACTGAAGCATATCTGTGCAAGAGGCGCATCTGGGATTCCGGCATGAAAACACGTGCGTCCTCCACGACGTTTATCCGGGCCAGAAGAAATCCCTGAAGGCTTCATTCTCAAGTGTGGCATGTCCGCCAGAAATTGTCTTGCAGCATCCAGAGTCTTGATACGGCGCAGGTGGAACCGGCAAAGTGCCCAACTCGAGTTAATATACTGCACCAGCACCGCACTCAGATGTATTTGTGATTTGAGACCCCCGGCACGTCGCAGCGCTGCATGATTTGGACACCTGGGATCCTGAGGCTGCATCAGATGGTCCGATCAGCAAGACCGGGAGATATGCTCTTCTTCTCCTTCTCTGGATATGGGCTGCAGGTGTTCTTGGGTGCTTGCACTGCAAGATCACATATCAGTTATCATGTGCTCTGCGCATGATTCAGGCAGATTTTGACTTGAATCGTTGTCTCATGAACCCAACGATATCCTCGCCGTGCACCATTTGCGTCCCGCACTTTTTCTCTTTGGCCAATTCTGCCTGCGCATGCTCCATGGACGGTAGTTCCAGTGGAAAAATCGGGGGACATTAAGCTCCACGCCAAAGACTGCGCGCCTGAACTGTGCGAGCCTGTACCTTCAACTTGCACGCAAGGCGAGATCCGAAGCCCAACGGAATCGTAGTAAACTGGTGCACGCAAGGAAATGCACGAAGTTCCTCACCATATACACGTTCCACCTGGACCTGGCTTGACCGACCTATTCAGAGTTGCTTCAATTTCGACAACTCATCGGGCGCCATGGTGGTTTGCAATAGCTTGTTTTGGCTTCCTGTTTACACGGTCGGGCAGCCGGCTCGTCATCGGCATGGCCACACAGTGGTAGTTCGAGGGCAAGCCGTGCATTGCGAAGATCGGGCTTGCAATCGTCTGCTGCTACTTCTCCGGGTAGAGTGGGGTTCATGCGGGTTGCTAATTGGTTGTTGCTAGCGATGGGTGATATTGTTGATGGTCCGTTCTGATGATGACGACGATGATGACGCAAAGCTAAGGCTGATTGAATGACTCTAATGACTATATCGACCAGGTAGTCAGGGCCTTCATTCATGCCTAGATGCAACTGCAGAACAAGCAGCCATCGCAGTTTGGAAAACCTAGCCGAGCCATGCTAGAGTCTGACGGCACAAGTCGAGCAGCAAGAGAGAGAAAACCCCGCGACCGAAGTGCAGTGCGGAGTTCGTGCCAGAAATGCTCTGTCCTTCTCACTTCTCGCCTGTCTCAGCGCAACATCCAGAAGCCCACAAAATTTGAATTTTCGGCGCAGCCCCAAATCCAATGCTGTAACATTCGGCGGCATATCTAGCCATGCCGGTATCTTGTTTGCGGAGTTGACATCCGCCCATCCTGCCCGAGTGGTGAGGTGCCAAGGTAGGGCACTAGGCGTGCCCACGAATGTTGGAAGCTGCGGGACTTTGTGTCCACGGCTGGCATGGGCATTTTGTTTTCTTGTCAGTACCTGCCGCGATTTGATGCTTCGCGCCATTTCGCGCCTGCCTACAGCAACCTAACGAATGCCAAATGGCTGGGCACACCGCCAAAGCTTGTTAATCGTGTTATGCTGGCTAGGCAAGGTCCATATGTCCGCGATCCATAGCTGCTGAGCAGTTTAGACCTCTACCCCATCCTACCCCCTCTCGCCTCCAAGTGGTCGGTACTTGATCGGTCAGAAAAGGTGCTCCTCCCTCGCAGGTGGATGACATGGATGGTTATCAGGATGAAGGAGTCGAAGAAGCCATCCTTCCAACAGACTTTGTCGATGGCCGTGATGGCGATTACAGCGTCATATGCACCAACGACCTTCATGATGTTCCGCGCTCAGAGGGTAGATTGAACAAACTCAACGCATCCGGCCAGGATGACATAGTATGTAGCTGGAGTGCAGCTGGATTGCTTCCGGTGCACATGGTGTCACGAAGCAAAAACTCATTACTGTTGGTCCAGTGTTTTCGGGCTCGTGCTGCCACGAGCAGGATTCGGCGCGTGTAGGCTACGTTTCGTGTGATTGGCAGCCCATCAGTGCGACGGGGTTTTGGAAGCAGCCCTGAAGTAAGTAAGGTCTTGCTGGGTGTTCCTGCCGATGTTGTCGTGACAGCGGTGATGGCCAAAGCCTTGGCGACTCTTCCGCTTGAAGCTGTTCTCGCATTGCCACGTTTTCGCGAAGTTGCAGGACTGCGACCATGCTACCACGCTGATAGACGTGAGTGGCACAATCGACGGCTCACTTGTAAGTGGGCTAAAGTTCAGTGACTTCTGCGGCCTGAAGGCAGGTGAGTTTTCCGGTCACTCGGTGACATTCGGTGACATGTCATACATATACCCGCAATCATCATCCTAGCTTTCTTCTTTGATGCCATCGTATGTGCGCAGGCTCATTCAGCCAAAATGGATCTCGCAAGCCACAATCGTGACGTCTGGCAGGTCACAAGTGTTCATAATTCAGACCGTTCATGAACAGCGTCGGCTTGCTTTCTGCAGGAAGAGAAGGCTCGAAATGTGAAGGCCAGGCCGCGATTTCAGCCGGTCCGTACTTCAGCTCATCTTGGTCACAGACATTGGACAGCTTAAGGCTGAAGGGCCGAAGTGTGCTGACGTGTTAGGTCATGGAAATCGAAAATCCGCGCAAGGGAAGGCGTGCGATCGAAAAGGTAGAGCATCTATGTGAGCAGATTCTTGAGCAAGGTTGCCGACGCGACCCGCAATGTCACGATCGTCGTCGATAGCTTTCTGTTACACGGCCGCCGGTCATGGGCAGACGGCTATGGAAATGACTTCACTGGCATGTCTGACGCTGTCGCTGCTTTGTTGTTCTCCTGTCAGCCATGCTCGTCCAACAGACAGCCAGGCAAATGTCCATGCCCAAAGTTGACGGGCAAGACCAGGCAACCAAGCAGCACGGAGTGGGACACTCAGAGGGAGAGAAAGAGAGAGAGCGAGAGAGAGAGAGAGACAGAGGTTTAACCCCTATACACCATAGCCCTAGCAAAAGAAGGGGAGCGAGAGCGTGACACCAGCT